GATTTTAATAATAAAAAAAATAAACAAAATGTACTGATGATAATTGTAGTAATGACGAAAAGAAACATTTATACGAAAAGAATGTTTTAATCGAAAAAATAATATGTCTAAAAATTTATGAATAAAATATGAATAAAAAGTTTTTCAGAATTTTTTAAAATCAATATTGTTTAAGATGGAGTAAAGGTATTTTAGGATATAGTTTTAATAATATATTAATAAATCCGTGTTCCATTGTTGTTACTGAATTACAAATGAAATTCATTGTTTAAGAATCATAAACTATGATACCCTCCAACTGCCTCTAAAGATGAGTTACTCTTTTTCTAGTTTTTTATTGGATGCTAATAACCTGAACAGTGTGGAAAGTTTTAAATATTTAGAACACATCTTATCTACTACTTTGGATGACAATAATGATATTCTGAATCAAAAGAGTTTGTTTTATGCCAGATCTAACAATTTACTATCTAGATTTGGAAAATTTCAAGTTGTTTGCTTGTTTAAAATGTATAGTAATTTTATTGCATAACTCCTTGGCAAAAGCATAACACCGCTGTGTTAAAGAGACTCAAAATTGCTTATACAAAATATGTAAAATGGTTTTTTGGTTAGAAGCGTCAAGATAGTGTTCAATTATGTTTTTTGAAATTAGTTTAACAACATATATATATATATATATATATGTATATATATATATATATATATATATATATATATATATATATATATATATATATATATATATATATATATATATATATTTATATGTATATATATTATATATATATATATATATATATATATATATATATATATATATATATATATATATATATATGTATATATATATATAAATATATATATTATATATGTAAATATATATATATTATATATACATATATATGTATATATATGTATATGTATATATATATATACACATTAGGGTGTCCCAAAAAACAACATGCTTATGGCTTTCTGAAGCCAATAAAAAAGAAGAGAAAAGAAGAATTTTCTTATAGGTTATGTAAAGTTCTAGAATCTTCTGGACAGTTCTGGATGTTTTTAGAAATTTTTGAAACCTTCTCAAATTTTCTTCTAGAAGTTTGACAATCTGGATGAAGAATTTACAATTTTATGAGAGGAAAAGAAGAAGTGTTCCACTAGAAGAACAATCACTGGGAGATAACAGCAGGATATCTCTCAAAATCCAAATTGTTGGTTGCTATCTGCTCCTGGGAGAATCCATCAAAAGGAGACATGCATAAAACAAATTGAGAAATGATGGTAAATACCAAGAATATCAAGTGTTAGTATTGAAGAATAAACAAAGAGAAATTAAGTTATTATCACTAGATGTACGAGACTAAAAAGCAGATGCTATTGCTTTACAGTCTACTTTGCTTTTCAGTCTACTTTGCTTTTCAGCCTACTTTTAAAAGCAGATATTTTTATTGCTAAAGGTATTACAGCTATTCTCGATGAATAAAATTTACAAAAGAATTTAAAGATGATTGTAGTGGACACTACAAACGTAAACATTGAAACTGTGAGCGTAACAGTTGGAACTACGAGCATAAACATTGGAAGAAGGATTTTTAATTGACTGATTTGAGTCATTTAACTAACTGACTGAGGATTGTCAGTCAGTTAGTTGTTATAATGGATGAACTTGAAGGAAACAACATGTTCATCCTGGAACTTGTAAAGAACTATAGACAGGTTAGGAAGAATTTCAAGAATGTTGAAGAAGTGATTACTGAAACAGCAGGATGGGGTGATGATATGAAATTTTTATTTCATTTAAATTATTATTTCGCTTTTTTGAAGAATCTGGAGCATTTCTTAAAGTGAAGTTTCACAAAATACTTAAATTAATTAACGGAAGATGGAGTATCTAATCAATACTAGCTCTTTTGGCATTTATTCTTCTACCAGAGAGTTAAGACACTAATAAACATTTGTAAATTCTAACAGATGGGCAGACGATTGGTTTGCTGACCAAATTTACAATACAGATGATAATCAGATTCTATGTAGCAGCTTGCACAATCACAAAAAAGTGTTAAACTCTGTGAAAAGGTTTTGGAATCAGGAACCATCAAGACTGGAAATTCCCAGTGTGCAGAATGTGCAATCAAATGTCTTCAAGATCTTTTTGATATCTCTAAAAAGAAAAAAAACCTTTATCTTAGATTTATTTTGACTAACAAAGCATAAGAATTGTATATTGCATTCTAATTAAGTGGAATACTACACAATTTTTTCGATATATACAGTAGCTTTTCATACTTCTAGAATTGTTAATTAAGTTTGTAATTTTATATTTATTTATAATTTAGAGTGTTATGATGTAACAAAAAATTGTTAAGTGCTTAAAAACTACATAATAACTCTCCAATTAAAAAAATTAGAATTAAAAAATAACAATCGTAAAATTGTTTGAATTTTTATCCTTGCACATAAACGGAGCCAGACAGAGATTAGAAAAAACCTTTTGGATATCAGCATGTAGAGTAGTAGCAGTTTAAGAGAAAATGGTAGAAGTAAGAAAACTTGAAGAGAGAGCATTACATATGGTATGAACAAGTTTTAGTTAAGGTAAGAAAATGCTTGAGAAACAGCATAAAAGAAGAAGGCTTGATGATTTAATTATTATAATTATTATTATGATGAGGTTGCTGGGCAACGAATAAATATTTTAATTGTAATTGATCGCATGATTTTTTGCGATTAATTGCAATTAATGCAAAAAATTCAATAATGAAATCAAAAGTAGTGTATTGTGTAAATTTATTCTTTCAAATTTCAGCTGTATGGACAAAAGTGCAATAACATATGTATAAACAACTTTTAAAAAAGTGCATATTAGTTGCAGAAATGCAAAAAATTCAAAAGTGCAATAACACATGATTTGTTAAATCTTTAAACAATTTTATTCTTCCAAGTTCACACTTACTTACTCATCTGCACCAAGCCAGTTGCTGAGACAAACAAAGTCATTTACATTTTTAGATGATAAAAAAAACTTTTGTACAATATGATCACCAATCTTTTGCAAGGTATAGGATGTTGCAGATGCTGTCAAGTATTTCTGTAAAATACTTTGAGTGAGCCTTTGTGAAATACTTTGCCTGAGCCTCTCTGAAATGAGCCTCTGTGAAATACTTTGTGTTTAGACTACCAATTTAATGGACAGGCACTGATGGTGAACTCTACTCTGTATCAACAAGGAATACTCAAGTGTTTTCAATTGAGTATTCCTTGTGTTCAGAATCAGACTCTGATGAAGCAATCAATAGAGCAAACTTTCTTTTTGATGGCTTTGATATTGTTGTTTCCATTAATCAGCAATAACCCTCCTTCCTTTGAGTATGTTAGTGACTAAGGCCCACACTTCACCACTCTCAACTCTTGGTATACATCTGAGGTCAATCTTTAGATATGCAATGTTGGAATTTTCCTTGCATATCTCCAGGCCTGTTCTGAATGTAGACTTGAATTTGACCACATAGACACGGGTCCTCATAATGTCTTTTATAAGTGACTCCTTCTTTTTTCCAAGTTTAATTTATTTTTTTTATAATTCTGTAGCACTTTTTAGATGGTGTTTAAAATAGCCCACCATCTTTCTGTATTTGGCCAGGGCATTGTCAAATCTGCTGTTGTGCAGAGATATTGTGACAGATAGACTGTGTGCAACACAGAGAGTGTTTTCAAAAAGAAAATGTCTTGCAGCAGCAACTATATTTCTTGCACTATCTGTGCTAAGTGTGCTGACTTTATTTGAAATATCCTACTGCTGCGTAACATAATTAAAATGTTTTGCCCATGTTTCAGCAACATGTATTTCTTGTGTCTTCATTACTGCCAGAGCATGTGAATGCAGCTCATAAATGTAATGCACAGTAACTTTGAGGTAGTTATGGTTACTCAGCAATTTCCAGTAGTTTCCTGTGAGGGCAACAGATTGTGCATGTTGTAAAGTTGTTGCCTATATAGATCTCTCCTGTTCTTACAGTTTATTTATTTTTCTGGCAATGGTGCATCTTGGCAGAGGCTCACATGTGCTACATCCAATGTAGTCTGCTGAAACCTTCCTCCACTGTTTGGGTGGGTAATTTGCTGGCATCAACGGTGTGTATTGCATTTAAGTGATACTTTAGCCTTGATGTACTCTGATAATAAGAAATTTAGCTTTGCAGTGTTTACAAATAACTTTAGTCTATCAACTCTTTGTTGAAGAGTTTAAAAAAAAAAATGTCCATTTAAGATTTCGATACCTTTTTCCATTTTTATACTCTTCATCAAATTTATTTATTTTTTTCTTGTAATCTAAACATAAGCAATAACATAAGTTCACACAAATTTAATCTAATTTAATTATTTTTTGTAATCTAAACATAAGCAATAATGTAAGTTCACACAAAAGTCTTGATTATTTTATAAATCGTTTATTATTATAATTCAATTTTTACATATTTTTAAAATAATATAAAGTAAACAAACAAAACTATAAATAAACAAGATAAAAATACAAAACAATTTTTTTAATATATTAATACTAATGTAAATAATAATAATAAGCAATAATAAGCAAAAAATACATAATGAGAAATAAAAAAAGTAAAAAACATTTCAGTATATTATGCAATTTTTTTTTTTTAATTGACAAAGTGTTTTTTAATTTATTTAAAATGATAATTATACTTTTATGAGAAAAATTATACTTTTGCAAAAGCCGTAAGAGCTAAGAGCTAAAGGTCTCGCTTCCCACCGAGGCCTGTACATATATATATATATATATATATATTTATATATATATATCTGTGTGAAAATATAAAGCAACCGTAATGGCACGTGGCAAATTTACCACATGCCATTGTGGTTGTGGCAGAGTATAAACTTTATTTTGAAATTTATTTTTAAATAATTTGGTAATTTTTTCAAAGAATTAAATATGTTAAAAGTAAAATACTATATATTATTTTGTCTTATAG